TCAACTATTGCACGTAGAACACCTATTTCACTCATCAAGTCAGCCCTCATGCTTGCAACCAATTTCTTCAATTCGTCCATTCCACTTGCGTTTTCAGTTTCTTTCCGTACGAAAAAACCGCACCCAAGACCCTCTTGAACAAATTTTTTAAAAAGTCTCAATCCAAAATTAACAACAATCTATAAAATTATGGATATAAACGCACCTTCCACCTTTGACATCCATAAAATTTCTTTCCAGATTCTCGGGTTATGCAGATTGGAGCCTTCAATCCACACCTACAATATATAGGAGGCTCATACTCCAAGTTAGTTCGCACACTAGATGAAGCCGATGATGATGACATTATACAATTGAAGCTAGACGAAACCCAGCTCTGTTGACTTTGAAGCCAAAACCCAGCTCTGTGAGGAGAATCGCGAATGAAGCTTCAAGAATGGAGAACAATTTTCGTTCATTAAGAAGACGAAGCCAAACTCTGAAGAGAAGGACGTGGCTCATTAAACTCTAGGGTTTGCTAATATTCCATGTCATATTAAGCAATATTTCCACGTCAACCAGCAGTGAGAGGCAACTGGGTGGTTACCTGCGAAACAGGCTAAACGAACAAATTTAGAAAGTTAGTTGGGCTGATTACACTCTATTTTAGTCCGTGGGTGGAATTGAACACTACGCCATAGTAGATGGGGCTATTTGACACTTCTCCCAAAAAAAAGTTTTAATTACGAGGCATGATAACCAACGAGGAATCCATGAAATGCTGCATTTAATTAATGGAGTCAATATAAATAATGTATATAAACTTGTATAGTGTACATGCATTAAGCGACTTAGATGCAAACTCCCCAATTAGATCTATGCAATGACCAAGTAAACCTAGATTTTTTTTATTTTTTTTTTAATGAAGAAGGAAATACATTGTCATTATTCAAAAGTGTGTACTAGATAAACTTTAAATCTGTAATAGCATGTAAACTTTACAAGAAAAATAATCACATTGTGTGACGGGAATCTATCAATAAAGTGTTAACCAGAATTAAACTCACATTCAGTACCAGAACCATATTTCATGTATCCACTTGATTACGTATCCCGGCCCATTCGTGCAAGTAAACTTGGAAATCCATTCATTTATATACCAACACGTTTAGTTCACGGAATAGGTCGATTTACAATGGAATAACATTCCTGAGAACAAGCATATTCCATTGTTTGTTAATGTATTTTGTTCCGAAAAATATTATTCCCACGAATGAGTTATTCAATCCCCTTGCAAGGGGAATAACTCTTTCAAGGGCCCCTGGTATTAGGCTATTCCTTAGTTATCAGGAATAGCATAACTTTATTATTTCATACTTTATCCCCTATTAAACTTAAAATTTAATTTGTTTAGTTTGTTTTTTTTTCTCTCTCTAACAAATTTTATATATTTTCTCTATTTATTTGATTCTATGGTGAATGTAATAATAATAATAATAATAATAATAATAATAATAATAATAATAATAATAATAATAATAATAATAATAATAATAATAATAATAATAATAATAATAATAATAATAATAATAATAATAATAATAATAATAATAATAATAATAATAATAATAATAATAATAATAATAATAATAATAATAATAATAATAATAATAATAATAATAATAATAATATTATTATTATTATTATTATTATTATTATTATTATGTCTTTTAAAAATATATTTTATATGTGTTCCGATTGTTAAACCAATCAAAAGTAGTGTGTGTATATATATATATGTTAGTCCTGGTAGGGTCGAAAGACAATCTAGAGGGGGGTGAATAGACTCTAATCGATTTTTCAAAGCAACTCCTTTCGGAGCAATGCACAGCGGAATTAAAGATTTGTCTTAGATACACTTTGCACTCTTTCGTTAGGAAATTTTAGCGTTTGGTCGATATGATATGCAATGCACGAAAGTAATAAGGCAGTAAGTAAAAATATATGGAGATAAAGATTTTATAGTGGTTCGGCTGTTAAAGAAGCCTACTCCACTCTTCTTTCACAACTCGTGAAAGGGTTTGCACTATTACTCCTAGTACAAACTACTTTAAGCTGGCTTCCTTGATCACAAAGCCGGACAACCACTTGATAGGTTTTTCAACTCCTCGAGTTTATTCCGCCTCTATCAACTTCTTCTTAAGTTGAGATGTTGGAAAGATAATCTGGTGTTTCTCCAATAGGTTGAAGTCTTGTCTTGTTATCTGGATGAATCTTCACTTCAAGATATGCAAGACTTCTTCAAATTGTGAAGTATGGAAATTGATGAGCCTTTTGAAAAACTTCACAAGATCACTGGTTGAGAAAAGCTTTAAGGGATGAAACTGTTTAAAGAGCTTTTCTTTTTGGATAGCAAGAGTAGAATTAACAGGCACCTTCTTCAATGGTGAAGAGAGGTATTTATAGGTGAAAAATTCATCCGTTGGAAGGAGATGAAGATTTCAAACATAATATCCAGTGTGTGTATTAACCAGTGGGCATCAAGCATTTAATGCACTTGTACTGTGTAGCCGTTGGAGCCAAAACTATTATGAATTTTGTCATTGTTCTCTGACAAGATGGTACAAGTCTTTTAATGCTTTTTGTCTTTTGTGAATATCATTCCTAGGACACTTTTTGTCCGAACGATTTGCCCATCTGAGTCATAGACAACATTCTCATTGCTTCACTTAAATGAAGGTTGTCTTTTACAAGTCTGTCTTTGACTTGTTCACTCAGAGATATTGGTCCAAAGATTGGCTTTATCTTTCGTCCTTTCTCTTTGACGAGAGATCCTTTTTGCCAAAAGAAGTCTATTCGAGACTTGCTCAATCCATCTTTCGCCTAGAAGCATCTTTCGATCATTTTGTCATCTTCATGTCTTCATGTAGACCTATTATGCTAGTCTCAAGTAAGATTCGTACACCTCATGGTGTGAATCAAACGTTGAGTTATAGTAACCCTCGTTTGTCACAAGAGACCTATCTACAAAAGAAAAAATAGGATTCTACAATCATAGACAGTTTGGTATCATCAAAATCTAATTACACTTGTTCCTAACATATATATATATATATATATATATATATATATATATATATATATATATATATATATATATATATATATATTTATTTATATATTTTAAAGTATATCCTTTTGGCAAACCAAGTAATAGAACATGTAGTACTACACAACCCTGTTTTATTTCTGACCTATTTTCTAAAATTCATTTCGGTGACCTGTAATATTATTCAGTTGCGCCTCAGCTACCATTGGGCAACCACAAAACCTTTTATCCATACATTCCCTTTGTTCAATGTACATTTGGACTGAACATTATCGGATCAATCAAATAAGTAAAATAAAAGACTCAACTTATAACTTCCAGTAAAATATAAAATTTTCAATTTTTCTTGTATTTATATTACATTTATTTTCATTTTACTTCTTATTAATTAATTAATTATTGTTACTTATATATATATATATATATATATATATATATATATATATATATATATATATATATATATATATATATATATATATATATATATATATATATATATATATATATATTATTTCTAGACAATTAGTACAAATCATATATTTCAAGTAGCAGTAGTGAACTTTCTATTAAATCAAAATTCAAATTATATAATGAATATATATATATACTCTCGATGGCACAAGTATATATATTTTTTAAAATTAGAGTTTAAGAATATTCATACACCCTAAACTATTAATATTATATTTAATTTGTTACTTTATAAGTTTTTTATTGTATATGTAATTGGGTATATAAATATTGCTGTAATATACTTTATAATAATAAGAAACAACTAGGGATCATGTCATATTAATTATTAAACATTTTGTCAACTCACATTTGTTGACTTAGCTTTTCTATGGTAAGCGTGTGGTTAGTAATATTATAATGCCATATAATTGCAAAACCCTAGGTCAAGATCCGAGAAACTTTGCCACCGAGAATCTTAACCATCGTTTAAGGTAATCAAACCCTCATTTCCCATTTTAATTTTGCATTTCTACTAGCAAGGTCAACCCTTCACTTTCGAACCTCCAAAGCGGGCCTTATCAAAATTAGAATAAATAACCCATGTGAGTATGGATGAAATTAGGAATGGGTAGGACAAATTTCTTTTAACTTAATCAGAGCTTTCGATCATCGTCATCAGACTATCTTATTATTATTTTGAGATCCTACTCGACATATGTGATAATGTTCAGCTCTATATGGTTATTCTCTTACCCTTTATCTCATTCCTATTATAAGGTTTTGATCAAATTTAAAAAAGAAAAACATGCATATCTTCTAGCGCAATTCGAGCATTCGAATAACCACGTTAAGAACCTGAGGCTAAATGGAAAGAGCTGACCAATTAGCGCGGATTCGGCTTAGGTAGAAATGTACACGTTGAGTTAAAATTTTGGAATTAACTGAGTACTCGTGTTGCCCTGTTGGGTAACATAGTTAATTTCTCGACCAATTTTAGTATATTTGACCATTATTAGTTATTTGACTTGATTAAACATTCAATATAAATGTTTGATTAACTAGCTGTTTGTGACAGCTTATTGCTTCAAAATGCTAAAATTCAAAAAGCAAATTTTTTTTTTGAGAAAGTCATTTTGCATGTAATCAATTATGAACTAACAACTAATTAACAAAACATCTTTCTACGATCAACTAATGTTATCAACTAATCAAATTTACCAACCCAATCAGCTAGCAGTTATTTACGAAATACCCGAAAATATTTATAACATTAGTTGCTTAGGCGTAAGTGGGGGTTTCAGTTTTTCACTATCTCATTTTTTTTTCTACACCATATGTGATTTATTTATTAAGCAAAAAAAAAGAAAAGAGAAACGAGTGAGTGTACTAGTGTTGCTGTTTGTGTATATATATTTATATATATATATAGGCATCATGTGACTATCAAGCAGATGAGAGATAATGGCAAGTAAAGAGATGACGACGGCCGCAGAGCTTTACTTCGTGTTCATGAATCGCGATCCCGAATACGAGCGCCTCAGATCCAACAGGTTCCTACCTTTATTCATTTCATTTCTTTTAATTTCTAGCTTAGCTTCATTATATATATTATTTACTGTATCTATGTTACGTTGTTCGTTGTCCTGAAAATATAATATAATATAATGGCAGTACAAAGAAGGGAAGCCATGAACTAGATCTGTATTTAAGCAAGAAACACGATGAGTTCTTAGCCACTACCTTGGAGCCCGGCACCTACAACAAGACACTCTCGCTCGCTATTGTTGATGCCTTTGCTGTTCAGATTACTGACCATCAGGTTTTTTATTTTTATTTATTTTTTTAAAAAATTATCTCTGATTTATTATAAATATTACTCCGTATTATATTAACATGCAGGCCAATGTGCTTAGATCAGCCAAGGAAGTGAGGGTTGTGGAGAAGAATCAAGAGCTTGCATAATCTGGCAGGGGAGGGAAGATAGATCTGAAACTGTTTGTGCCGGAGAAATTGCCCCCATAGCCTCTATATCTCCCGCCGCCCATTTTTATAGTCATAATTAGTATGGATCGGAGATGATCATAAGCTAGGCACATAGTTTATAGTTAAAACTAATTAAATCCAAATAAATTAAGGGCATTATTATTAGTATTATTGTATGTAGCTTAATTATTAAATATTTAAATGTTTGATGCTAGTTGTTATTAAAACCAACCCTTGTATTTGAGCTCATTTAAATTAATTTACAATATTTCTTTTTTTTTTTTCTAACGCCATGTTTGGGAGGAGCGAACGAACATTATATATGTAAATTGTAATTTTTTATATCTCATAAAATAAGACTAATGTAGTAAAATAACCACATAGTGGGGATTGGCCTGCATGAAAATTGAGTTAGATCGGAAAAAATATTAGTTGGTTAGTAGTTTTCCAAGAAGATATAATAGTGAATAAAAATTTGATGATATTAGTGCTTCATTGAGGTGGTGATGATCTACATATATAAATGCAGTTAAAACTTAAAACCAAGCTTTTTTTTTTTTTTTTTTTTTTTTTTTTTTTTTTAAATGTGTGTTGTATAGACGATAATAAAACAAACTTATAAAATGTATTACATTATTTTCGGGATACAATCATACAACACAATTTGTCCATCAATTCAAAAAAGTTTATATTCTTTAGTCTTTATTAGTAGTATGGTCTTATCATCATGACATTAGTGTACAAGCATTTGGGGGTAACGTAGTTCTGTTGAGGCATGTCTTAGAGTTATCTCTTCTACTGGTCTTCGTGCTTAATTATGCAGAATGATACATACATAGGAGGTGGGTGGGGGGTTGATGTGAAACAATAATAATAATGTTTGATAGTAGTAGCTAGGGTATTGAGATGCTAGCTGCTTTATCTAGTTAAGGTTAGAAAGCAGGATAGCAGAGTTGCTTGCATTGCTTCCATTTTTCAACAAAGTTTGATGCTAAAGCCTGACATTGTTGTTGGGTGTCATCTACTCGTGTACTACTCTCTTCACATGCATTCTATTAGCTTCCATCTTCTTCTTTTTTTCCCTCTTCATTTATGTTATTTGTTACTGTCCCCACCTCTATGTATGTTTATCATTGGCTATATAGCTACCTACAAATATCATGTTGTGTGTGTATGTAATGGGGTATATCTTTAGCAGCTGATATAATAATAATAATAATAATAATAATAATAATAATAATAATAATAATAATAATAATAATAATAATAATAATAATAATAACAAACTGATATAATAATAATAATAATAATAATAATAATAATAATAATCTATATCTATATCTATATACATATAAAGGTCACTAATTTTCAGCCAATCAAATGGCTTCATTTTCCCGCCCATGGGAAACTACACCGTTTTGTTTTGTTTTTTGTTTTTTTGTTTTTTTGCTGATTCAAATCTAAAAATGTCGTCCCCGCCTACTTTGAATTTATTTTTTATTATTTAACCAAATCAGATCAGATTTTGCGTGAGCTTTTTAGCCTAATTTTTAGGTAGTTGGCCTATTGTAGAGTTGGTATGGGTATGGGCTTCTTCATACTATGCGTGCAGTCTCAGTTTTCAGGGGTATGGGATTGATGTCAAGCCTATATATTTTCCAATATAATAATACGTATAGGAGGTGATTTCTGGGGCTATATATACATACACAATGAGACATAATTTTACAAGTATGCGAAGAGAGCAGTGAAACCCAAAACAATACAAATTATAGTAAGCTTTGCAGTGACCATCTCTGAAGGATGTCTGGGCAATTCATCCTTGGTGCAAACCTTCATCCACAGCTTACTACGAAGGCAATTAAGCTGCGTTGTGTAAGGAATTATGTGGTCACTGAAACAAAGGGAGAAAACAACATAAGAAGCCAACATTGTGTGTTTGTAGATGAACAGGTGTTATTCCTATTACCTTTTTATAGTTTTTTTTTTAGCTTGTCTTTAAGTGTTGCTATGTTCTTCTAACTATGTTATTTTGGTTCTTTGTAATATAGGGTATGTTCATCCATGTGCACATACCTAAGGACATTGTATGCAAATACAAGAATGAATTCAAGGAGGGGCAAGTTTATGGGATTAGGAATTTCCTATGTATCACAAACTTTTTCAAATACAAAACAAGCACTTTGCGTTATATGATAAAGTTTAAGTATGACACATTGGTGAAGCAATATAAGCGTATCAATTTCCAGAAAACGATGTTTCGATTCAAGAGTTTCCCTGCTCTACTTTCAAAACAAGATGTGGATGAGAAAGTTTTAATGGGTAAGTGATTCATAATCAAAACTGTTATCTTCAAATTTCAATTATTATAACCTACCAAAATATCTTATATGACTTAATGTGTTCTTAACATAGTCCTATGTTTTTAGATGTCATTGGTAGAGTTGTGGAGATTTATTCCCCACTGGAGAAGGTAATAGCTGGAAAGAAAACGAGGCTGATAGACTTTGTCCTTGAGGATATGAGGTAAGTTTTGCTTCTTTATTTTCCACCTCTATCTATTACATTTAGTAAGCTATATATTTTATCCTAAATGTCTAACTTTCTTAGAATTATGTGTGCAGTAAAAATCAGATTAAGTGCACCCTTAGGGATGACCATGTTGATCAACTTATTCCTTATTTCAAGCAAGATATTGCTGACCTAGTCATACTTTTGATCCAACTATGCCGTGCAAAGTTTCTGGACAGTAAGTCTAACTTAGTATTTACTGCACACATAATTTGGGTACTTACTTATTTAATCTCCTATGCTTGGTAGATGGTGAAGTGCGCATATGCAGCTCTTTCGATGCAACTCAGTTGTTTTTCTCTCACCGCTGTAAGGAGTTTGTTGCATTTAAGAGCAGGTGAGTGTACCTAGGAAATCTTTCCTAATTTAATGGTTGTTTCTTAATGAATCATTAAGTGTTTTGTTGGTTTGTTGTTTTAGCAGCTTCACAAGTGAATCCACTCCATTGCGGTGTATTGATTCTTCATCTCGGCTTGGTGTTGGTTTTCCTAATGGTAGTGGTGATTCTAAGGAAGTGTTGGTCAGTTCTATTGAGGAGATATACAGTAAAAAACATGTAATTTATGGCTTTCTGCTTACAACTTTTTTCTGTGTGAATATTGTTAGCTAAACTGTAACTTTACCTAAATATATAATGCTGGTTTTATCACTTAAGTAAGTATCTCTGTCTTGCACTAACGGTAGCTTTACTATGTTTTCCTGGGCAGTTGGGGGAGTATTGGGTAGCTGGTCGAATTGTTGGTGTTGAGAGTCTATGTGATTGGTACTATATCTCTTGCAAGACTAATTCTTGCAAGAGAAAGCTGACTGAGAGTGGTGGGATGCTCTACTGTGCTGGGTGTAAGAGCTATTGGCAAGAAGGAATTATAAGGTATAGAGTGATTGTTCGTGTTGCTAATGAAACTGGAGATGCTCCTATGCTTTTATGGGATCGAGAATGTGCTGATTTGGTTGGTATAACAGCTGGTGACTTAAAGGAAAACTATCCTAGAGTATGCAAAAAATTCTTTTTTTATTTTTTTTTATTTTCTTACCTGATTTCTGAGTCTAATTTTCACATACTAAATGTACTTTGATTTTCCTAGGGTAATAACTCTATTCCAATGGAGCTAGGACGTTTGTGTGGGATGTCTATGCTATTTCGGATAGCTATGAAGAAAGATCAAGTAGAGAGTTATTACTCTGCTTTCACAGTTCTACGTGTTTGTAGAGTTGAGGCATTGCTTACACAGCATTGCTAAGGTTTCTTAGGTTGCAGCCAATCTTAGATGGCGTCAAGTGATGGTGGTCGTTGTTTGGATGTTGGTCAAACCTGTGAGGTATATATCTAAAATACTAACAGAAATGGATTCTAACCAATGAGAAACACTTAGTAGCTAACTTTTTTTTTTTGCTCACTTAGGAAGTGTTTGTTAGCGATGATGAAGACTGTGATGGAGTGGATACTGGTTCTGAAGAATTTCAGCAGGACCAGTGTGTTGGGTTGGACGAAATAACTGAGAATGTAGATGATGGGACTGTTGTTGTTCCTCTTAAGAGGAACCTAATGAAAGATTTTGATGGCGCTGGGAGCTTAAAGAAACCTAATGTTGCTGTTGTGAAGAAGGAGAAGTAAATAGATTAGCAGTAAAGGGTAGGACTCTAAAATTGACTTGCACTAAGACTAGGTTGTATGTTTTTGGTAATCCACCCTAATGTTTATTTTTGCTGCTGTGTTTTGAAAGCTGAAGTGCCTCAACTGTAATCTTAAGCTTCACCTAATAGTATGATGAATAGGTGTAGGTGGGTGGTGATGTTTTGTTATTTTGTAAATTGGCTTTGTCTCAGTTGCAAGTTGTTATGTAATTCTACTTAATGTGATGCTAATTAATTTCAACTCTTTGATTCCTAGGCTAATAGAGATTATGTTCAGAAAGAAAGATATACATAGCACAGACATATATTAGTCAAGCTGTCATCATATACTATCAACATGTAAAAAAAAAACCAGAAAAAAAAAGACTATAAAACTTGAAAAAGGGATAAATTTGAAAAAATAAAGAACTGAAAACAGATTAACAATCTTTGATATTAGGTAATATCAAAGCTCCAATTTTGTTTTCTACTTAGTGAGTTCAACACATTTGTAATTTTGAGTCTAATGTAAAACATGTATATCTGTGTTAGTAAGTATATACCTTAAGATCAGAAGAATTAATATGTCAACCAAGATTACTTCTAAACCAATTAGAAACCTGCAAATCAAAGATAAAACAATGTAATTTTGGGTGGTTACTTAAATTATGAAAAAAGAATTTAATTCTTCTAATTTAAAGATGAATAGAAACTTAACATGAACAGGAATTTCTTTAAGACATGTCAATTGAGAGCTATTTCTTTGTGAATCTAGCATTGCTAACATGGAGACCAAATTACTCAAGTAGCTGAAGTACAGTGAGCAATAGATCTAATAAAAAAATATATGCAATGAGATCTTTAACTCTATAAGGAACTTAACATGAATCTATAACTCAATAAATTGTAGTCAGGTCAATGACAAACTCTTTCTTTGTTTATCTAACAAACTGATCTGTGTTAGAATCATTTGGAAGGAATACCAAAGACCTTTCAATGTGGGATCAGACACTTTTAGAATCATTTGCCTCTATCATGATTAGGTAATATCACAGCAAAACATGTAAA